ACAAATATAGTTTACCCTACTTTTATAGTAGGTATATATTTTAATTGGATGATATGCGTATGATACATAATTTCATCATTGAAAAAGTTTTTTTAGGTAGTACATTTGAATTAAATAGAAAGTTGGAGCAAAAAAATAAATTTTAATGGAATAAATGGATCTTAGTTAAGTTGATGAAGCAATTATACCAAACCGTTGAAAATAAATTTATGATGATTTGATGACGGCAATGATATTTTCATTTTATGAATTGCATGTCCAGCTCAGTTGGTAGAGCGCAATGCTCTTAACCTTGTGATCGTGGGATCGAGTCTCACGGTGGGCAATTCATAATTCTGATTGTTGGATGTCTCCCACGGAAGCTCCTCTCAACCTGGCGTTGGGAGCAACCTACTATCATACCTCCCTTTACCCCATTACATATGAGAATAAGGTCAGCTAATGATATTTTCATTTTATATGTTACAATAAATAGATTTCAACTAAAATTAGAAAAAAAAATAGATATAAGGAAGGAATCACATTTTAATCAATCAAAAGACAAATAGTTTACCTAACCCCATCCTTACCAAATACATTTCTTTTTATTTTCACCAAACCCCAGGTTTGGTCTCTATATTACTTGGATTATATTTTATAAGTATTAATTTTTGTGATAATTATTTGAATTTGTATTTTATAATCATTACTTGTGATAATAATTAGGGTAAACTACCTATTTAGTATCCCCACCTATTATTTAGTTAATGTTTTTGTTAATTATTATTATTCTTTAAAACCACACTTAATGTTAAGTTTTTATTTTGTTTTAGTCATCCAATGTTAAAAAATTAGTAATGATATTGATATGACATTTTTTTTATTAATTTTCAGTAATGATGTGGCATTAAGGATGACAACGGGTCATGTTGGGTTAGATTTTTTATCAATACCTCCCGACTCGAAAAATATATACCCTCCACCCGAATCTGACATGATCAAAAACATATACACTCCACCTAACATGATCCGACCCAAAAAATATATACCCTTCACATGACTTGACCCTAATTTTACCTAACCCGACTCGACCCAATATAAAATAAAGACTTAATTTAAAAAATTATAGAGATAGGGGGTATTATGACAATTATCCATAAATTTGTTTGAAGAAATTACACTATTACCTTCAGGTCGTGTTTGGTCGGAGTTTTTCAACCTCTACATGAACTCGACTCGACCTCACTCCTTTTATAAAATTTGACCTGACCCGAACCCAATTTTTTTTTAAATGACCATTTCGGGTCGGTTCGGAATCTGTTGATTTTGAGTTAAATCGTCATCCCTATGTGACATTATTTTATGGTGACACGTTAATATCACCATTAATTAACATCGGGTGACCAAAACAGAACTAAAATGTAATGTTAGACGTAATTTTGAAAAAAATAATACTTGAGTGAAGAAACAAAAACTAAGTGGGTGACTAAATAGGTAGTTTACCCTCATAATTATACTTCTAATTTAAAAAATAAAATTGAATATAAAAAATTATTCTTTTTTTAAATATTAACATAATATTAAAAGATTGAAAGAAAACAAATTAGAAACTTTTATTTTTTTCCAATGGGATAGAATTAGGGGTGAGCAACGAAACCGAGAAAATCGAAAAACCGACACGAATCGAGTAAAACGGTTCGGTTCGGTTCGGTTTGACTTTAAACGGTTTAGTTTTCGGTTCGGTTTAAAGGCTTCATTTTTTTGATTCGGTTCGGTTCGGGTTTTCCATATAGAACCCATTTGTTTCATATTGAACCGAATAGGCAATTTTTGTAAAAAAATTATAGTTTCAAGTGATTTTTTCATTGAAAAACCGAAAAATCAAACCGAACTGAACCGAAAAACCCGAACCGTTAAAAAACCCGAACCAAACCGAAAAAACCGGTTTCGGTTTTTTCGGTTTTTTAACTATTCGGTTTCGATTTCGGTTTAAATATTAAAAAACTGTTTATTTCGGTTCGGTTTAGTTTTTAGTAAAAAATCAAACCGAACCGAACCGAATACACCCCTAGATAGAATGGTGGGAATTGGAGGTGAAGATTTCAGATTTGAATTGTTTGCAATCTCGGAAGAATTTGAATTAGTACTAAAAGAATAGGACAAATTTATTTATAATTCAAAATATATTACAATACAAAAAAGGCATTTATTACTTATATTATCTGAGTAAACTGTATGCCTATCATGAAACATCCCTATCACATCTATGGCCCATCCAACATCACCCGTCTCAATCTAAACTACCATCCTTAATTGAAATCAACCAAATTTTCAAGCTATTTGATGTCGATCCAAATATTTTTATATTAATTCTGTACAAATATCCGGCCTTAAAATAAATCATTAATGCATCATCTTTTCAGCTCATTAAGGAATTTAGTGGACGAGAGGTTAATGAATGGATAGAAAGGGCAAAGGTTGGTTTTGGCTACTTGTGATATATTTCAACTATGGGTAGGAGTTCGTTGAATTTTGCTAACTTCCCCAGCTGTTTTAGACATTTTATTCTATAGTTTTTTGGTAACAATTTTATTTTCAGTTCAAATCCAACTCATAAGTATGCTTTAATTTCAAGCCTCGTTTTTAGATTGATGACACCACTTTTTCTTTTGATATTTTAGTGGGGGGTTCTGATTACGGCGTCAGAATTTACATTTCTTTCAACTCCAAGGAGAGAAATTATCGGCAAATTGTTAGGCACAGCCACGAGAGGAATACGAGATTTGTTCAGCTTGTAAATAATGTTAGACTTGATTAAATCTGTTAAAATTTTTCAAAAATAATTTAATTTCGAAATCAACTTGAAAAATATATTTTAAATATTATTAAACTCAGTCGGACTTCCCTCAATACTCACTTGGTCATTTTTGCACTCAAAACTTATGTTTCCTAGAAATTTTTTGAAAAATAATTAACCGACCCAAACAAAGTTCGGTTAATCGGTCGATTAACCGAATTATCTAAACTTTTGAACGTTATATATTATATATTAAATATTTAATATTTTTAGTTAATTCGATCGATTAATTCGGCTAAAACCGAAATTTAAATGCTCCTAAAGCTATTAATATATAAATAGTATAAATAATGATACGTTGAATTATATGTTAGGCAAACACTAAGTCATAAATGAATAATGATATTAGACTTAAAAATAAGCAAAAAATAAGTACACTAGCGTAGCATTCATGCGTAGTTATATAAATAAAAGCATGTTTTAAAATAAGTAATATTGGACATAAATTCAGGTTTAAATCGTTAAGATTAGTCGAAGTTGGAGAAATGTGAAGAATGATATCTACCTAAAACCAGTCCAAAATTAATCTGATCCAGTTTATATGTAGAATCACTAAATTAATTAAGAATAATGAATAATTTGAGAATGAGAAAAGACATAATGAAAGGCTAAACTATACGTTTAGTATATAAACTATTACTTTTATTTCGTTTGGTATCTAAACTTTATTTTTGTTTTAAAAAATATACCTAACGTGTAGTTTAGGTTTCATTTTGATACTCTGCCGTTAAAAAAATTTAACGGCGATGTTGATGTGTTGATACAAGGAATGCCACATCATCATTAAAAAACATATAACGTCAGCAATTATGTTAATTTTTTAATGATGAGGTACTAAATTGAAATCTAAACTAAACGTTATGCATGATTTAAAAAATAAAATTTGAGTACCAAAGCATAATAAAAGTAATAGTTTAAGTACTAAATGCGTAACTTATCCTAAATGAAAATATGTTGAATGCATGGTGTTGGTTTGATGGGTAGCCTGCAAAAGAATTAAATGAACGGTTTGTGGGAAAGGCTAAATCCATGCATTTAATTTAAGAGATTGAGTGCAGTGGACCATTGTTTCTCCTGGCCTTCCAATGCCACCATATGTTTTTACGTGTTCCTTTTTTTCTTTTTCATGCATTCCCAAAATTGTTAAAACTTGATAATTTCAGTCCCACAATTCACGGCACACCACTATTCCCGGATTTTACTTTCTCGACTTAATAATATTATTAAAAGCGTAAATAAATAAGGTGTTTGATAAATTATTCGTTGAATCATTCGTATAACATTTTTTATGTTTGCTTATTAAGCTAAACAAATGAGTATGTAAGATTTTTTATATTCATTTAATAAATAAATGAATACGAATAAAGGTGTGTTCGGTTCATTTATATGCACGAACAAACTCCTTTGAAAGCTCGTGTGTTGACTCGTTTACTCGATTCTCCTTATTTCCTTTTATTTTTTTAGTATAATCACCCATATATGATTTATTGTATTGAGTATTGCAAAGTGGGGGCAACCCTTCCAACTAAGCTTGCCCCATTCACAAATGCCAAGATTTGAAAACCTGACCTTACTTAAGGGATTTAGTGTCTTATCCTATTAAACCAATCGATTGTTGTTTTTTTTGTATATATTTTAAATATTGATGAAGGTATGGACTAAATTGAACATACGATAAATTTTAGGGGTTCAAACTTTAAAGCCTAAGGAGCTTATGAACTAGTTACACAGTCTCAATATTTTTCTTTGGCTTGCAAATAAAAAGATAAAAAGAGAGTGTTTGTTGTCAAGGGTTTCGAACATATTTACGCGTTTGTGAATATTTAAATTAACCAAACACGAACAATTTCAAAAATAAATAAAGGGACACAAACCGAAAACGAATGCCTTCAAAAATCAATAAAAAAACACAAACATAACCTTTTTTTAGATGAAACGAACATAATTTTATTAGTTCAAATCCAGTTAGTTTTCATGGATTGGGTTGAGGGAACAGTCGAAATTGGACTCCGCTTGATTCGATACTCGACCCCAACCGGGAAATAAATGCAGAGAATGGTTTGAATATCAATAAAAGCTGTTTCTATCACCAAAAATTAGCCCAATAGAGAATGGTTAAACCCGGTTAGGCCCTACAATTCTGCGAACCCACTGTAGAAAAATTCTTCATCCTGCAAGATAAAGCGACCAAGAATCCCATACCCACAACTGAACCGTAAGCCGATGGCGACCAATATTCTAAGGCGCGCTGCCTCATCCGTTATAACGTCAAAGACCGGAAGTCTCCTCACCGGAACGTCGAGAAGAAGCTATGCATCGGTTGCGGTGGGGATTGACATAGTGTCGGCCGCACACGGTGTCAGTCTTCAGAAAGCTCGGAGCTGGGACGAAGGCGTTTCTTCCAATTTCTCCACTACTTCTGTCAAAGACATTTTCAAGGTTTGGTTGCATAGTTTTCTGTTGGGAAAAATATTTGATCAGTCTATTAATTTTGTTTTTGAAATTTTCATTTCAGGGCAAGAAAGTTGTCATCTTTGGGTTGCCCGTAAGTTTTTCTGTAGTCCCCCTTTTTTTTTCTTCAAAAAGCATGTTCTCTGTTTTGACTGTTTGAATTTCTCTATATATGCAAATTAAGAAATGGAATTTGATTTTATGAGATTGTGTTTGAAAAACCAGAGCTTAAAAATGTATATTAATTAATTCTGGAGGATTTCTCTCTATGATTCTTATTTCCTGTAATGCTGAAAATAGCAATGGAGTAATTAGTTTATGTCTAGAGAATGAAAATTTTGAAAGCTTTTCAGATGCAGAATATTTCACTATATCTTTTTAATAAAAAAACAGTTTACAAGCATCTAAAGAAGAACGTGGATGGTCCCTTGCATTTGGTTTAGAGTTTGCAACATGCTGTGTTGCTTGGAATTCGTATTGAGTGTCGGATATGAAGTATGTTATACCTGATTTTTTAAGCTTTCACATATGTTTAGATGATCATGATCCCATATTCACGTCCAAATATGTGTCTGATGTAAGTGTCCAACATGAGTACGATAATCAAAAGTCTGGGTAATATAAGGTGCATGATTTTCGTATTTTAAATAGCAAAGATCAAACCTGGTTTCCAAAATCAAACAAAAAAATAAGAAAAAATAAAGTGGAGTGTGGATCTGTTTAGTTTGCTATTTCTGATGTTATTGTCTGGAGTATAAATTCATTGAAACTTGGATTTATACTGTATTTGGCATTGCGTATAGGGAGCATACACAGGTGTTTGTTCACAACAGCATGTGCCTAGTTACTCGAAGAACATTGATAAGTTCAAGGCGAAAGGAATCGACTCTGTCATTTGTGTTGCCGTTAATGATCCTTATGTTATGAATGCCTGGGCATGCAAATTGACAGCTAAAGATGTGGTAAGTCATTCCAAATTAACAATGTATTGTATGATTTCTTCCTTATGCCGTTCAGTTTATTGCTGACAGGTCTACATCATTGTTAGGATTTATCAATTTTTTTTCGTACAACTGATTACTAAATATCATTCAGTGGTGATGTAGTGATTCTCTCTGTGCGCTAGAAAGATAGTATTCCCCACTCGCCTTTTTGCTATTGAAGTGCATTATTGTGTCTGTAAGCATCACATTTTCACCTTTTAATCCTCTTTACAGATAGATTTTTATGGCGACTTCGACGGAAGCTTCCACAAGAGCCTGGAATTGGGAAAAGATCTCTCTGCTGCTTTGCTCGGGCCTCGCTCTCAGAGGTACTTGCAGAACTAAGCTTTTGTTATTAGAATTTCATATAGATCATTGTCTTGGACCAAATTAATCTGTGAATCTGTCCCGGGCGTTGTTTTGGAATATACTTATATTTTGTTTTACATATTCTTCTAGACAACGAACCGATCCTGTCTCGTTATCATTTCCATATTAAAGAAACTAACAATTTCTTGGATATTTATCTGCCGGTTTAATACAGATGGTCAGCCTACGTAGTTGATGGAAAGGTTAAAGCATTTAACGTGGAGGGTGCCCCATCGGACTTCAAGGTTTCTGGTGCCGAGGTTATTCTGGAGCAGATATGACGATGGCATGATATCGCAGAGATGAATAAAACGGTTTGGTGCACTTACTAAGTTTGTAGGTTTAAAACCTATGTTGTTACTGCTTAAGTTTTCAACGTTTGTTCTGATACATTTATGTGGGCATTTTCTTGTTTTGAAAGGTTTGGAGTTTGAATCCTCTCAAACTTAACATTTTAACCATTTTTCTCGAGCAAAACGTCATTTTGGTGTGCCAATCACGTTAGCAATCGTTAGTTATGTGATCGTTTTGTTGTTGACTCAATGTTGGAGTGACATTTGAAAACTAAATTTTAGTACTATACTTGATAAATTAGAAGTTCAATAATATAAACGAGCAACGGTCAAAATTTAATGGTAAGTGGTGTAGTTTACCTAAAACTTATCGACTATAGTTTTATTATCTACGCTACTTCTTTCTTGTCATGCTACAAAATTGGAAGATGAATACCGTATCCCGATTAAGTTTATTACGATAAAAAATACTTTTAACTAATTCATATACTAGAAGATAATTTCGTATTCATATCCAAATATTTATCTAATTACAAGCATTAGACACGGTGATTATAATATAATATATGTTTAGAATTTTCAACTAATTGATAAAGTATACACACCTTGTAAACATAGTTGTTCGAATCTAAAATTTCTATGGAGAACATTTATTTTTATCATTGAGGTTACTTGACGGATTCGAGTTGAGTAGGACTTGAATCCCATGTTGTGGGCGAAGCGTGATAAGAGGCAGCGGGGAGTGGACGTAGGCGGGGGAGAGAGCAATGGAGTATCGCTGCAGAATCATGGAAAGAGCCGTCTTTGTTTCATTGATTGCGAAGCTCATCCCGACACAAGTTCTCGGTCCCATTCCGAATGGGATATAGGCAGCAGCATTATACTTGGTTGCTTTCCCAATCCCTTCCTCGAACCTCTCCGGTTTGAAAGCATTGGCATCTTCTCCCCATAGATTAGGGTCATGGTGAAGTGCCATGTTTGGGATCCAAAACTCTATATTTGCCGGCACGACTAGCTTTCCCACTTGAGTATCGCTCGCAACTTTTCTAATTTGCCCATTTACGGGAGTATACAATCTGAGAGTTTCATAAATGATCATGCTCATCTGCGAAGATACACATAACAAAGATCACATATCAGTTTAATTTAGGCATAATACTAAAATTATCCCTCTAATATTTATTAAAATAATCACTTTGACTTTTATTTTTTTAACTATTTTAGTCCTAACGTTTCATTTTTGAAGGCAAGAAGGCTCTTATATGAATGTAAATCTTTTTATCCTAAAATAAAATGTTGGGGTCAAAATATTTCAAAAAGAAAGAACAAGAGTAAGTGACTATTCAATCAAATAAAAGTTAAAATAACTATTTTAATAATTGGAGGCTAATTTTAACATTATACCTTTAATTTAATAATATAAAAAATAGAAAATTACAGCTAAGTACTTCTTTAAAGAAATTATCCGAATAAACTAGAAACATTACATAATATAAAGGGTAAATTACCTGTTTCACCTATTATTTAATTTTTGTTTTGGATACACAATTTTATTTTTTAAACCATCTTTAATGTTATGGTTTGGTTCTATTTTGATCACTTATCTACTGTTAAAAAATTAATAATGACACATACATGATATTTTAAAATTATTTTTCAATGCTGACGTGACATTATCTTATAGTGACACGTCAATATCATTATTATTTTTATACATAGATGATTAAAACAGAACCAAGTTAAATTTGGCTTAATTCCCAAAAAAGTGCTCAAACTATCCCTTTTGTGCCAAATATGCTCCTACGTTTTTTTTTACCAATCTGGATGCCTAACGTTATAAATGTTATCCTTTTAGGTGCTCAGGTCGTCAACGTCATTAGTTTTTCTCGTTAAGTGACACGTGTCAATACCTAGTAATTTTTAAAATTTTAAAAATAAAATTATATATTTTTAAAAAAGAATTTTTTTTTGAAATAACCCCTAAACTTTAAAATTTTTTATTTTAACCCCTAAACCCACATCGATCGCCACCCTTTACCGTCGAAGAAGACCCACTCGACCTCCCCTCCCCCGACGACCATAACCCCTATGAAATCGTGACCGACTGACAATCAATCGGCCACAAATCGATGTTTTAAATCTCATAAACCATAGGATGAAAATCGTGATCCCACACGATTTCAACGTTGAATCGACGACAATACGACAATATATAACTAGGATGATATCAATGACTATATCAGCGATGGCGGTGGTGGCCAGAGAAGGCCCCGACGGTGGATTAAGATTAGGATTTAGTATTTTTGTGTTGTATTATAATATACGAAAAGTTAAGGTTTTTTATAAGCATAATAATATTTTTAATATTTTTTTATAAAAAATAAATTTAAAAATTACCAGATGTTGACGCGTGACATTTAACCGGGAAAACTAACGGCGTTGATGACATGGGCACCTAAAAGGGTAACGTTTGTAACGTTAGACACCCGGATTAATAAAAAAAAAACCGTAGGCACTTATTTGGCAAAAAAAAAGCATAGTTTGGGCATTAAGCCTTTGAATTTAGTAAATGCTTGGAAGAGTTGTAAGATTTGCTTACGATTTTGAGTTTGGCAATGCCTTGTGAGTGTGGATTTTGGTTACCAAATATCTCAATCACCTCTCTTCTTGCTTTCTCTTGCCAATCACCATGGACTGCTAAAACCAAAACTGCCCAAGCAAGCAAAGAATTTGTAGTTTCTTGTCCAGCAAAATAGAATGTTTTGCACTCATCTATTAAATCCTGCAATGAGATCTTCGTCTTTTCATCCGAATCATGAAAGGCATTTACTAGTAATCCCAGAAAATCACAGCCTAAGCTCTCAGCTTCTCCACTCCCAACTTTGTTTTCTCTTTTCTTAACAATCTCCATCACTGAATCTTCTACTTCTTTGGCAAGCTTCTTGGACTCTATCTCATCAGTATCTTTCCACAACTTGCTGCAAAATCAAACCACAATGTATATATTGGAGAAGACAAAATAGAACTACCCAAAGCTGCAAGATTAAGCTTCGTTGTATCTAAAACCCATGGGATTCATAATCTTGTTCGCCAAAGGTTCTCCTCATTCTCGTATATTATAATTTTCGGAGGACTCAAAAGTATCTCTAAATCTTTGACACACAGAGAATTCTAGACATAATGAGAGATGTCTGAAAAATGATAGCGAATATCTAACATTCTTTCGTAAATTGTGACTTTTGATAGGTGCTCGTAACATAGTAAAACATAATATATGGCCATATGATGGTATCCATCTAGCTTGCAAATCTATTGATAATCATGATGGTCCTACAGCCGACACTTACACTAAGAATCACTATAAAATTTCTCGATAAAGTTCAAAAGAATAAATACTATTTAGATGTCAAGGATATATATATCGAATAAAACGTAAAATTCGGATAAAACATAAAATTAAAACATACCTGAGAATGGGAATCCTGGATTTGTACATATTTTGGACCACAATTCCTGACAGCTTCTTCAACAGGTCAAAAATCTTTTCTCCTTCCAAATAACTGCTACCAAAAGCTGTTCTCGATATCACTTCTGAAGTTAACAATCTAAATTCTTCAAATATTTCGATCTCCTTTCCTTCCATGTCTTTCCACTTGTCCAGCATCGTCTCAACGCTAGCAATTACCGCTGGAGTCATGTTCTGCAGCCAAAAACCATGCCCCAATTTGTTAAATGTAGCCAACAATAATAATTTGATCTGTTCATATGCAATCATATAGTAAAAACACGACATCCAGTTGAACTCATTAAGTGGACCCGGTATTCCTTAAAGTATTCAATTGGTTAACGGTGTCAAAAATTAAGAAAGATTTTAAACAATATGATCTTATAATCACTCCATACTAATAAGATCGAGATTTTACTTTTAAGCTCTCCCCGTGAAACACATAATTGGCCAACCTGCGCTGCTTTGCCCACTTTTCTCCAAAACTTGTAAGAAGCCCTTCCCCCACTAGCATGCTAACAAGTATTTTGGGCTTCCTTTTTGGAAAAATTTGTTCTCCATTTTTGAGAACCTCTTTGATTAGTTCTGGGTCAACAGTCACCACCTGAGCTTGAGCACCGTCCCAGGTAAGATAATTCTTCCCTATGCGCAATCAAGTAAAAACAAAAAATCTCAAATCTATAATATTACATCAAATATAATTCACAACGAAAAGCATGCATTTTTTTTGTAGTCTCACCATATAAGTTGAGCCAGGAGCGAACATGAGGAAAACATCTGGGAAATATATCATGTGTCAACCCCAAAGGTTTGCTTAATGCTTCCTTCCTCATTTTGTTAACTTGTTTATTGTTGCCGTGGATGAACTCATAAGGTGGCCCTTTGATGCCCTGCGAATTCAACATACGCTGTATACGGCGAGGCACCCACCAGCATTCATGGAGGACTTTGAGTAAAACTATGAGCAAGTAAAGGCTGACGGAGGTTACGAACAATATTGAAAGCTTCACCATGAAATCCATCACTTGCAAAATGGAGGATAGGGTTTTCGATTTTTTGAAATGAATATGAAAGATTGATCCGATGTTAATATTGCATTCATAAGGTGAGAACAGTTTCAAAGATCCTGTTCTTGTTTTCTCCTTTTTCTGCTCAACCAAATTACTATGAGTCAAAACATCACCATCTATGTCGTGTTTCAAATTATCACTTTTATTAAAAAAATCATGTTTATTAATTTAACGCGAGTGCGTAAAACTTTTTGTGCTTTTCTATCTTATCCTCTATCTAGCTCTAGGTTTACGAGGATCCAAGTTCGACGTACGCCATGACGTCTAACATTATATTGGGTAAACTACATTGGTGACCACTCAACTATGATCGAAAATCATTTTGACCACCGATGTTTCAATTTGATCAAATAGACCATTCAACTATTTAAATGCTTCAATCAAGCCACCTGTCGTCAGTAGTTAACAGAACAGGTGACGTGAAAGTGAAAAATATTTTGATATAATTACATAATTGGTCCATGTTACTTATATATTCTTTCAATTTGGCCCTCATTTTAATAAATTAAAAAATGACGTGTAATCATTCGATTAGATAACTAAATTTATTTTAATTTATTTTTAATTTACAAAATTACTTTCCTCCAACCAGAGGGTGACACATATCACCCTCGGGTTGAAAGAAAACAAACCAACGCATTTAAGGAGAAGGTAGGATTCAAACCCAATACCCCATAAGTTAAGAAGAAAGTGATATTTTTGGCCCAATACCCCAGGCGGGTAAAATATTTAGGGGGTGTTTGGTTCAAGGATTGTGGGATTTTTCATGGGATGGGAATCCCACATTCCCATGTTTGGTTGGTCGGGAATCTCATTCCCGATAATGTTTTATTACCAATAGTAGATTTTTGGGGTATATTACCGGGAATGTCATTACCTCCCTTCCCTTAGGTATTGTAACATTACTGGCGTTTTGGACTAAAATGCCCTTAAATTTTTATTTTTTTTCAAAAATATCATTCTTCTGTCATTGAATAATAAAAATTCTACGAATGTTAAATTACAAATTTATCCTTAAATTATTTTAGATTTACAAAAAAAGTCTATAATTAAAATTTTATATGAAGTTTAGGGGTTAAATTTTTTTTACCTTTTCATTAAACCTTTTTTATATTTTTAATTTTGTAAAAAAATTATATAAATATTATGAATTTAATTTTTTAAAGAAAATATATAAATATTTTACAATTTGTAATATTATACAAATATATAATAAGAACAATTTGGTCAAATATACATTCCAATAATCTTTTATTCCTTTAACCAAACACGGTAATCTTACATTCATGCTAAACCAACCAAACACAAAATACAACATTCCCAGTAATCCTATTCCTTGGTAATCTTTTATTCCCACTGGTAATCTTACATTCCGTGAGCCAAACGCACCCTTAGGGTATTTGGCTATCCAAACTTTATTTAGCAAAATACGGTAAATGCTACAGTCCACGCGTTGTAACATCCCAAAAGTCGGGTCAATGACCAGAATATAATTTTAGTAAATTTAGTAAGCAATTTCAGAAAAGATGGAAAGTTCAGGGACTTAAATGAAAAGTTTTGATGATGAATTTAATATCAAAGTTTGAAAGTAATAAGGGTATTATGGTCATTTGACAGGAAAAGATTTTTATTTATCTTTATAAAGGATAATAAGCATGTGGGAATGAGATAATTTCTCCAGAGTCTTCTTCAGCTTCTTCTTCCTCTCAATGTGAGCTCTTCATGGCTAAGGCGAGTTTGATTTTCAATTGATTTTCTTGTAATTAAAAGAATGATTTTTATTGATGGAGCATTAGGAAAGATTAAGAGAACTTAAAAGGAGATAGAAAACTAAAGATAAAGAAGTTATGGAAGATTTAATATAAGGGGTGATCAAGTGAAAATTAGAATAAGAGGGTTTAAATGAAATTGGAAGTTGAAATTGACTTGTCACCAACTTGATTAAGGAATATGAAGTGTTAGAATTAGATTTAGAACATGTTGGAAATTGAGTGTGATTCTTGAATGCCATATAAAGGATAGGATGTTGAGTTTAAAGAAATGATTATTGAGTAGAAATGAGTTTAAATGTGTGTATGAAAGTTAGGAATATTAAAGGAGGTAAAAGATGAAGAGTTGAGATGAAAAGAGTGTGAATTTCGTGCTTAAAATGGAAATTCTGGGTTGTGTGCATCGATGCATCTTCAATGTGTATCGATGCACTCTCGAATAAATGAATATCGAATGCAATTAGTGCATCGATGTATAAGGAGTGCATCGATGCACCCCCTTAAGATTAGAACATCGAAGGTGATTTGTGTACCCGTGCATAGATAGTGCATCGATGCACATGTTAAAGAATGCATTGATGCACTGTAGAATGTACCGATGCACTTCAATGGGAAATGAAATAAATCTTTCTTTCAGTCTAAGAAATTATAGATTATAGTATATCAATGGGATACTGATAGTATAAATATATGATTGTGTAGACATCGATCGAAAGCAAAGTTCAGATAGGTCGGCAGAGTAAGATACGTAAAGAAAACAAGAGCTTAAGAGTGTTCATTGAGACCAGGTGAGTACATGATAGTAAGTGTACATTATGTTAAGGAATTAAGACTTGCGATGAGTCTAATTCCGATATTATATGATATAAGTACTAAAGCATAAACATGTAGTGATATGGTGTTAGATGTATGGTATATGAGTAAATGCACATATCTAATTGTTGAATGCATCTTTATGTGTGAACTATGTAAATGCATGTATTTATGATAATAGGTCATGTGATCATGAGATACATGATAAAATATATGTGAAAGTAATATGACTCATAGTGTTTCTATTAGAATGTTATATGATATGTTATGTATGTGAAATGAATGATATGAATACATGTTAGTTTAATAAGCTTTATTAAATGTTATAATTGAATGAAGGGATTGTATGAGAACATGTATATGTGAACATGTGTTATGAGATAAGAATCATGACTATGAACTATGTGAAAAGGAATACAAGTAAAAGTGAAAAGCTATGTGATAAGTGAATGTGAATTACATGAAAATATGCTATGTGAAAGTGAACTATGCGCCTACGTAAATATGTGAAAAGATATAAAAAGTAATGCACATGTCATGTGTTATGAGAGCTATAGGTATAGTTGGCATGCTAAGAGTTGAGGGTTCTACGTGGTCCTTCGAGACATATATGTAATTCTGTGGAACTCATATGTGGTACTTCGGTACACTTATTTGGTCCATTGTATTATGTATATGGTTCTTAAGGAGTGGTCCTTCGGGATATAGTGGTCATTCGGGACATATGGTCATACGGGACAAATTCTACGCGCCCCTAGTGGGATTTATACGAGCTGTGGTGACAACATTGTGCACAACCTCTATGTACTCACATAACTTAAGTTCTCAAAAAGTGCATGGGCTTTAAAGATAATAAATATGTGTTATGATAATGTATGTGTTCTTTGTGAAATAATATTGATGCTATATGACAGGTATAAATGATAAGCTCAGAATCATATGATAATAGAAAAGAAGATAATGATAATGAGTGCATATGTGTTTTGTGATAAGAGATGATATGTAATTATGTATGATATGACATTAGTATTTATTCATGTATTATTGTGTTTTAGAGTTATATTATACGTTTATGTCAAATATATGCTCATATGATGGAATAGATTTAATGACAAGGAAATATGTTAATGATTGGTTTAATAGGTATGTAATTATGATGTGTATTATATGATATATGTATGCAGTTATTAGTTTGCATTGTGCATTTACATGTCTCACTAAGTCTATGACTTAGCGTGTAAGTGTCTTACACGTAGGTGTGGATAAGTCAGAAGATCAAGCTTCGGATCCGTAAAGTAACATATCTCCGCGCAAAGTTCAGATCAGAAATATTTTGTAAAGTATGTCTTGTCATATAATTTAGTATGTTGGCATGTAACTAAGTCATTACATATGTACGCTCTGATGGAGTCTGTTAAGGTTTTAAACATGTTTAAAGTAAAATAATTACTTTATAGAATAGAAGTTTTAAATTTTTTATGGTTTTTATAAAAGTATATGCTTTGACTGGTCGACGTGACACCTCAGACTCGTATCCGGGTCAGGTATGGGTTGGAGGTGTTACATTTAATGGTATCTGAGCTAAGGTTTAGCCGATTCTAGGCTTAAACCGAAGGTAAATGAGTTTTAAAATGTGTACATGCCAACACAGAGTGAAAAAAAATTTCTGATATGATAGTGTAAGGAGTATGTTGTCTTGCTAATAGAATAAGATTATTTTAATATAGTAAAAATCTGATTATGAGAATTTCAAAGAAAACGAGAGGTGAACCTGATGGTAGTAGCAATTCACATGCCCTGGCCAGGCAGGATGAAGAGCGAACACCTCAGGAAATGCTTTGGAACAATAAAGGTTGTTTTTCAAAAAGTTGAAAGCATGTTAGAATAATGTTATAGGGTCTCCACTGTTTTGGAAGTGGAGAAGTGGGATGAAGTAGTTTAGCTACTATATGTATGAGTTGAAGTATAGTGAACAAATATGATCATAAGAATGATATAAGATTCAGTGATGTGGTTATTAGTTTGGAAAAGTTCGATAATACGTATCTCGGTGGTAAGTTCATCAGAAATATGAGAACATAGTTTATGAATTTAAAACAAGAGAATTCTAACGTGTATGAATAAGAGTGCAGTTTGATAAGCTGAAGGAATTATTGTTAGGCTAAATTAAATGAAAATGAGGTATGTAAGTGGTTTGTGAATGGCTTGTGCCCAGATAGAATAAGTGTTATAGTGTTAAAGTTTTAAGGAGAGAGTTCAGAAGCATTAAGAGAACTGATATTTTAGGTGTCAAATACAACCTTGGCTGGAATTAGCTGCATTCCATATCAAAGGATCAAGTGATATAGGTACTGTTTTACAAGGGTTTAAGAATGGGTACATTGATGATTGGTTTATAAGATAAAGGAAGTTGAAATGTTTGAGTTTGAATTCAGGAAAATTGCATTGTGAATGAGTAAGAATGTGAGTTGAATGAATCAAATAAATTAATA